ATCCCAAACCTGCTGCTTCTTTTGATTCCTAGCAGCTCACTGTACCTGCTGGTGTCATTATCACTTAAGTTGGGGCTGCCCAATAACACTGATTTGTCTTGGTTGATTACTTGGCCCGAGGCCTTCCAGTAAGTGTCAAGCACATTCCTTAAGGCTAAGACATTGCTTTCTTTTCCTTGTAAGAAGAAAGCCGAGTCATCTGCAAAGAAACCGTGACTTATTTTTGGTGCCTTTTGTGCTACATTAATTCCCACAATGCGACCATTTCTTTCTTCTTCTCTAATAAGCCCTGAAAGGCCTTTCATACATAGAATGAAAAGATAAGGGGATAGCGGATCCCCTTGACGAAGCCCACATTTTGAGTGATCTTTTCCTGGGGAGAGCCATTAATAATTACCGAGAAGGAAACCGAGCTAACACAGTTCATAATGGTTTTAACCATTAAATCAGGCAAACCAAACTTGTGCAATAATCTCTCTAGAAAGTCCCATTTGATTCTATCGTACGCCTTGCTCATATCCGTCTTTGTAGCCAATTCACCTTCAACACCCTTCTTTGTTTTCCTGATATTTTCTAGCAGTTCGTGAGCAAGTGTACCTTGGACATATGGTACCTTAATAAACTTAATAACATAACGTTATGTGTCATACTATCATTGGATGTGGCAATATTCTTATAGATTTATTATGTTATGCTTCAATAGTCCTAGAAGCTGTTCAGTTACATCCCTCCCCCCCCCCCCCCACAAAGGATTATTTTCTCTCTTGTATGATTTTAAATTTTTAATTAACATCGAATTGAAAGGATTTCCTGACTTACTAGTTACTACTCCATTCAAACACCGACACTTACTATTTGTGTATAAATTGATTCTGGGCTTCAATCATCAATTAAAGCATTAAGTTGATTTAGTCCTTAATATCTTGGACTTTCATATAATTTATAACGTAAGAAAAAATGGATTTTAATGTGATGAAATTTTTTCCTACTTCTAAGCCCCGTTCACTTCATCTTGTTTTTGCTAAACTGAAATTAATTTTACTGAACTTAGATTATTTTTGCTAAACTTCAATTATTTTTACTAAACTAAAATTAATTTTGCTGAATTGAAATTATTTTTATTGAACTTAAATTAATTTTGCTGAACTGAAATTATTTTACTGATTCCCTATTATATTTCTTCTTTAGAATTACTAATTTTTGCTAAATTGAAATTATTTTTACTGAACTGAAATTATTTTTATTGAATTGAAACTATTTTTACTGAACTGAAATTATTTTTACTGAATTAAAATTATTTTTATAGATTTTTTTTTAAGGTGAACTAAACAGGGCCTAAGAGTTTTTCATTTCTTTCACACACTTTCTTTCCTTCCTATCAAATCTCATACGAAGTATATAATTTACTTATAAATATACTAATTATATAATTTACATATAAATAAAATACAGAGTATGATTTATAGAAGTACGTATTTTGTATTTCTTTTCCGATCAATTCTGCTAAACTGAAAACGCACGTAGCAAAGATTTTATTTTTTCCCCTTATTATTATTGCTCCCAATCCAAACAATGGGAATAAAGCTAGAAAGAATCTGGCCACTTTTCATTTTTCTATAAAAAATAAATAGTTTGAGCTAGAAAATCATAATAATAAACATACAGTTGGTTTTCTTTTGTCCTCGCATTAGGACAATTTAATTGGTTTGACGGTGATACTTTTGCTATTGTTTTATTTTGTGGTCAAAAAAACCTTTCATAATCTTCTCTAATTTTATTTTTTTGTAAAGTCATCATAAAAATATAATACTTTTATATATAGTCTAAAGTTGAAGACATGATTTTTCACAAAAAGAAAATAGATTTGATAAGGTGGTTTAGTTATACTGTTTTATGCCCATTTTCTATAAGCATAATAGCATATGCTATTATGCTCTGACTGCATATAAAGTAACCAATAATTACAAAATCAGACAATCAGTGAGCTTACTTTTTTTTTTCGGAAAAATTGCTATATTTATTAATTAATTAATTGGCAACTACCAACAATAATAAATGATTAAAATAAGAATCATAGTTATTTAATTTATGAATGTTCGCACCAAAAAAAAAAAAAAAAATTAATTTATGAATAATGTAAGGATGAGATGTGACATTGGTGGTGGTTATATACTAGTACTTTGTATTATAGGCCCTAATTGTTTGTAGGTCAATTGAAAGATTTGATGCTTCCTCAAACAAATAGAAATCCCTTAATTGTGCGCCCTCCTCTCCGTTATGAGTTTGGGGAATAATATAAGTAACAACATACAAAGTATTTATGTAAAATGCTCTTCATAAAAAAAAATAAAAAAAAATAAAAAAAATAGTATTCTGTAAGTAAATATTTTAGTTATGAGTATTTATTCATTTAGGAATAATATAAGTATTTATGTAAAATGTTTTTCTTCAAAAAAAAAAAAAAGTATTTATGTAAAATGTTGGTAGATTTGTCTTGATGTATGCAATATATTATTTCAAAATCTGTAAAAACATTTATAATTACTATTAATATTCATATATGTACATTACAGATAAAAAAAAAAAAAAGGGAAAATAACTTATAGAAAGTTAGAAATATGTCCTAAGTGTATCCAAAGAGAGCATAACTGAGAGGATAATAATATGTGAGAAGGTGGTAGGAAGAAAATACCATTTTTTATTTATTTTTGGGTGGGGGGTAAAGCATAGCTTCTTGGCTTAGCAAATGCCATAATTATAGTTTGGCATGACCTAGATGTATACCTTGAGTTTTAAAAATGTTATTTGATAAAAATGGAAAAACAAAAGGCAACATTACAAAGGAAGTGGACTATATTGTATCGTGACCTAGTTCCTAAGAAAATTGGCATTAATATAAGATGATGTGATGTGACATAATTGACATTATATAACCATAATAATTAAGTTGTACTGTATTATTTAAAGGATATGACATGTCAATACAACACAATATCATATTTATTAATCATTTTTATAATATAGTATTAATTTTAAAAAATTAGGTCTGGATTTGGAGAAGGGGACAAGGTTTGGAGGCGGTACAATTACTCCACTACCTCAACCTCAATTTTCAAAACAAGCATAAAAATGATCTTTCTCTTTCAATTTCTCTCAACCGAAACAGGTGCACATATTTTTCCCAACTAATATTTCTTTCAATCTCCCCTATATATATGTTGTTTTCCCAACTAAAATTCCTTTTCTCCCCTATTTATATGTTGTTTTGATACTAGTACACTATCTATAAACACTACTAGAAATAGGTCGATTTCCAACGGACTGTTTTCGACGGATTTTTTTTTCGTCAAAAGTTTCCGACGGACTTTTCGATGGAATTAAAATCCGTTGGAATATAAGGCTTTTCGACGGAATATTCTGTCGGAAAATTACATTTCCGGCGGAATTAAAATCCCTCGGAACTTTCCGAGGGAATATTTCGGTCGGAAGATTACATTTCCGGCGAAATTAAAATCCCTCGAAAATTTACGACGGAATATTCCGTCGGAATATTAAAATTTCCGACGGAATTAAAATCCGTCAGAAATTTCTGACGGAAAATTCCGTCGGAAATAAGTAATATAAAAAGGAAAAAACCCTAAGAACAACTGATCTCTTTCATTCTCGCCTCCCTTCTCTTTCTCTCTCATCTCCTTTCCTCTCCTCCTTTATTTTGTGCGCCTCTTCCTCTTCTCCTCTTTTTCTTCTGTGAGCCTCTTCTCCTCTTCCTCTTCTGTGCGTCTTCTTTCCTCATTTCTCCCTCTCTCCTCTTCTCTTTCTCTCTCTTCTCTTTCCTCTTTTCTTTCTCTGTGTTCAACCAACAACAACAACAACGCTTTAACCAACAACAACAACGACTTCAACCAACAACAACCACCGTCAACCAACATCAACAACCGTCTAAGACAACCACCGTCAACCAACATCAACAACAACCACCGTCAACAACAACGGCGTAACACTCTCAAGGTTTTTTTTTTTATTTTTAGATCTAGTTTTAATTTATCTTAGATTTAGATCTAATTAGTTTTTTTTTTGTATTTGTAATGTTAATTGTATTCCTTTAGTTATTAATGTATAATTATCGGTTTTTTTTTTTAATTTTTATATGAAATTCTAATTAAATTTCGATTTGATTGATTTTTTTTATGGTTTTGATTGGTTTGTATTGTATTTTTCGATTTGTTTGGTTTAATTTTTGTATTGTATTTATCGAATTTTGGTTTAATTTATGTATTTTTTTCGATTTTTTTACTGTTTTTGTGGTTGTTTTTTTTCGATTTTTTTTTGGGGTGGCCGGTTGTCGTGGTGGAGCTGGCGAGGAGTGGTGGGGCTGGCAGGGAGTGGGGAGATTAGGTGGTGGGGTGACGGGGAAGGGAGAGGGGCTGGTGGTGAGTGGTGGTTAAGGGGGAGGTGGGGTAGTGGGGTGGTGATGATGTTGGGCTTTTTTTAAAATTATTTGGGTGGGGAAGTGGTGGCTGTATTGGGCGGGGTAGGGTGGTTGGGGTGGTGGTGGGTTTTTTTTTTAATTGCTATTTCCGACGGAATTTCCGTCGAAAGTTTCCGGCGGATTTGTATTCCGTCGGAAATTCCCGACGGACTTTCCGGTGGCCGGAACTTTCCCTCCTACGAGAAAATTCCGTCGGAAAACACTGTTTCGACGGAATTTACAACGGAAAAAGCCATTTTCCTTACAAAAGGTCTTCCGACAACCCGTTCTGACGGAAATTCCGTCGGAAACAGTGTATTCCGACGGAATTCAGGGTGTTTCCGACAGAATTATTCCGCCGAAAATGGCCTGTTTTCTAGTAGTGAAATTTGATACTCCATCGATTCTATATATCAAGCTGGACTCTCCAAAAAAACTGTATATTCCAGTGATGTGTGCGGGAGATTAGCACAGTGCAAGATTTATTCAACGATCGTAGCTTGATTTTTTATTAATGAATTGATTTGTTTTAAAAAAAAAAAAAAAAAAAAAAAAAGCTTCACCACTTGGTTGAACCTTCTCGTAACTAAATTGGCAATTGGCTAGAGTGGCTTCCTCACATTAATCACGTACATATTTTAGGGTTGAATAGTCGATACAGAGGTTTAGTTTCATAAACCATTAACATTGTTATTCGGCTGATTGCATACTTGTATGTAGGGGCGGAGTCACTGTGGGTTCATTAAGCCCACTAATTTTTTGAATTTTTTTTATAAAAACACAAAAACTGAAAAACGGTTAAAAGAAATATCTGTGTAGCCAATGTCAAGAAGTAAAGGTGTAGCTGAGTGGATTTTTTACCTCACATTGTATATGAAATTATGAGTTCGAATCCCATTACTCACAGTCACACTTTTTTGGTTTCTACATTACTGTTTATCACGAACAGTTTTCCACTTTTCCCCCAAATTCTAAAACCCTTATTCCCCTAAACTCCTACTCCCCTAAATCTCTCCAATCGCCGTGTGCCGCCCGCCGGCCACCTTGTAGTCCGTGACTCCGTGACGCATTCCGCCTTTAGTCGTCCTTCACCGGCCACCTTCGTTCAATCAATCAGTTCGTGACGCTTCAGTCCTTCAACATACCGCAATCGCATACGGCACTTCGATCAATCGGCTCACGGCGGCACGGCCTCTACCAGTCGACCTGGTGTCTGGTGAGCTTGCCTTTCCGGTTTCCTTTAATGCTTATTGCTGCCTTGCTGTGAATCTGTGATTGTGAATGTTCAATGCGAGTATGCGATAATGCTGTCTTTCTGTCTTTCATAATTTCATTGTTTTCAATTGTCGAAAACTCGAAATTGTCTAATTGTGATTTGTGAATGTTATTGAAATTGTCTAATTGTAGTTTGTGAATGTTGTGATTGTTGTCGAAATTCAGAAATTGTCTAATTGACTAATTGTGACTGACTGAATGTTGTCTTTTAGTTTTAGTCTAATTGCATTTGTTGTCTTGTTGAATTGCTGCCAAGTGCCTTGCTGCCTGTGACCTTGAGTGCCTGACTAAGTGACTAGTGCCTTGCTGCCTTTATTGTCGTATTGAGTTATTGGTAAATGATAATTGCTAATTTGATTGGGAATTTGAGATATAATGATATATAATGTAAAATTGTAGATTGTGCCATTGTGGTATAGTGATATATAATGAATTTGAGATATAGTGATATATAATGAATTTGAGATATACTCGAAAAATGCTTCTGTAGTTTTATATTTTTATTTTTCTATGTGTAATCTATTTGTAATTCATAATATGAACTTATGTACTTAATTTTTAATTATTATATTTTCATCCCTTTGTTAACTATGATTCCGAACTTCTGTAGTTTCGAACCCACACTTCGCAAATCCTGGAGATGCCACTGATCATAACCAAATTACTAATAATTACTAATCATTTAAATTATGAAGTGATTACGAAGTAAAGTAAGAGTTTAGATTTTGGATAAATAGATTTAAGTAGGAAAAAAATAAGAAAAAATTGCATATCGGAACGGATCGGGTAACCATTAATTTTAAAATGATACCCGATAACAAATTATCGGATTGGGTACCCGAACCGTCTTAGTTATCGAAACGGGTACCCTAATTTTCGGTTCGGTTACGGTTCGGATTTTCGGGTTTTCTGTTTTTCGGATAATTTTGCTCAGCCCTACTTTTAATAGGGATCCAAGGCGTCCAACCCATTGAATTGCTCTATTAAAGCGCATTCAACGTTCTCCATTGAAGCGCAGTTGCCGTTCTCCATTGAAGCGCAGTTGTCGTTCTCCGTTGAATCTAGTTCTTGTATCCCCCATTGAAGCAGCTTATAAGGTAAGTTGTTTGTATTTGTTATCATCATATCAAATATCACTAAAATTATGAGATAGTTGAATCAAAAATCCCTAAAATTATGAGATAATTGAATCAAATTTGGTTGCTAATGTATTGCACAACACTTTAATGTTAGCATTCAACTATGAAATCAAAGCTCTTTTCCCTGGGCCCAGGGCTGCCGCCCCTCCTCAGGGACGGGCCTGATTGTAATCACTAATGAGCAATTATGTTGCGAGAGAGACTTATGAGTCTAATTTGAAAATTGAATCAAATGTATTTTTTTCCCCTATGATTATGTGAATTTGATTATTGAATCAAATTTGGTTGCTAATGTGTTGCAAAACCCTTTAATGTTTGAATTAAACTATGAAATAGGCTACATTTACAACGTTTGACGGTGATTGTCTCACAAAAAAGTATTTTTTTTTAAAGATAGATGAAATGGAATAATTTCCCCCTTTTTTAAGAAATTTTTTTTGATATTGTTTTATGTGATTTTGAGACTCTTAAATGTTTAAAATATTTGATGATTTTTATTTTTCTTTCAGGAATTTGCTTGTCTTATCATGGATTCTTTGGATGATCCTTTTGCTGAACCTGTGGTTGCCAAAGGTAATTTTATAATAATCCCATGTATTTTTTCGAAAATTGGTTACATTGTGCCTTTGTTTTGTTCTTGCAATGTAATGTGGAAGTCTAGGGATTGAGCATTAGTGTATTTTGCTCTTTGGCATTGGCAGCTCCAGCTATCGATAGGTTTCAGCCTAAGGCTAAGCCACGACCCAAGAAAGGACCATCTGTCGCGGTAAAAGCAACCAAAGAGCCGCCTGTAACATCAGTTCTGCAATTGAATCAGTCTAATGATAATGTAGAAAAGAAGTTAGAAGATCTTAAAAGTTCATCCTTAACAGAAAATGAAAGCTCAGGATTGCCAGCTGAGGCTCAGGAAGTGTCTGGTTCTGCTGTTACTGGGCATTCAGAAATTGCTGGTCCATCAACAAAAGAAGCTGGTTGGCATTTAAAACTTTCCTTTAAAGCACTCTTACATTCTATTGTAAGATGAATTTGACTAATGGTACTGACTGAGAACATGTCCAACTTTAGAGACACCAACGGCGAATGCACCCGGTGTTCACAGTGAAAAGGAGCTATCAGATTTCCATAGTGTTTCTTCTGCCAGTGTTTCGCTTCTCAGGCCATGTAATGCACTAGCTGCTCCTGATCAGCATGAGGATCAGACGTTTGAAAATCAAGAAGTCTATAAGGAGTCCATGGAATGTGGTGATGATGGAGACTTACAGATAGATGTTGAGCAGCTGGTAAGAAAAGATTATTTCACAGTGCTTTCTATCGGTTTTTTTCTCTTTCTTGCAGGTTGACTTGAATTTGTTTGATGCTTTGTCTAAGTATATTTTCTGTCATACCATATGAAACAGGAAGCAGGGGATTTTTCTTGTCTCGACAGTACAGATATAATGACTGAGGGTGCTGCTGCTTCTGGTACTGCCAAATGGAAATTTTCTATATATATATATATATATATATTTTGAAATTCCCCTTGTTTTCTTCTTATGCTTAACTTTGGTGGGATTTATTGTGTGGCAGGAACAAGAGCTGTTAAGTTCAAGCCCAAGCCTAAGGCACAAAGTGATAGACGGAAGAAAGATTCAGCTGAGGCTGTTTCTCATCTTCCGCATTCTCAGAATCTCCCTTCTGAAAGTGAGCATATGACAAGTGATGGTTCAATTCATGCCAGAGAACCCAACACTGTGTCCGATGTTGTACATATGAGGCTTGATGGCAATTTTTCCTTAGATCCTTCCGTGTATCAACCTGATACTGTAGTCTCTGAAGATATAGATTCATTGATGCCTGAAAAATTACCACAACAGGTATTAAGACTGTCCTGACTAACTATTATACATTGTTGATGGTGATCCCTATTTAAACCTGAATTTTACATCATCACCATTTTGTTGATTTGGCTTTTAGAGTGGTGAGGACCATAGAGAACAGAATTCATATGATGCTTTAGGCTCTTCTGCCAAATCAGTAGATGAAGGGTTTTTGTCAGCATTTGAAGGAAATGAAGATGGATATGAACCCCTAGATGGAATAAATGGTGGATTCAACAACATATACAGCTCTTACGACAAAGCATCTGATAACTCAGCCTTAAATAGAGATGAAAATAATGACGGTGATCATATTGGCGAAGAGACTTTGCAAAAGAAACAGCCACGAAAGTCGAAGAAAGTCACAGTTGAAAATAATAAACCGGCTAGAAAGAGGAAGAAGGCAACCCAGGAACTTAATGAATCTGTTGAAAAACCTCCCAAGAAGTTCCCTCGAGCAACTCGACGAAAAAGATGTGGTAATTTCTGCAGTGGATTTCTTGTAAATTATACTGCATATTGATGCACGCTTTTCAAGTTTTTTGATGAATTCTTTGCATGCAATTTTCCTTCTTGTGTAGTGGACAAATCCTTGCTTGAAGCACCAGAGGACGAACTGGACCTTCAAAGGGTTCCAATCAGGGATTTGATCATACTTGCAGAGTATAAAGAGCGCCAAGCTGTAAGTAGTTATTCTCCTCCAATGCTTTGTATGTTTATTACTGTATGTGGTATTAATTACATGATTGCATTTTCTGTTTTGATTCTTCATTGCAGAAGAAAGAAGCAGCAGCAGCTATGCCACCGCCAACCAGTGAGAGGTAACAGAATAATAATGCTAGCTTGGACAATCGTACTGTTTTTTTTTTTTTTTTTTTCCTTTTACCTTTTAGTTATATTTTCTTAGGACTGTCTTTCATCGCAGTCTATTTTCTGTTGTATATTCCTCTGCAGGAATAATAACCTGTCGCCAGAGGACCTTCCGTATGATGATAATGAGACATTTGATCAAGATGGAGATACTTATGATAATCCTTCGACTTTAAGGGTTCAAAAAGATACAGGCTACTTTAATTATCAGTCATTCATGACAAAAGAAACGAGAGCAAGGTGGACAAAGCAGGATACTGAATTGTTTTACCAGGTATTTTTCTAAACAAAACCTTTAGAGTGCACCAGTTATTCTTTTATTAAATATTTTTATATATGGTGTGAATGTTATTTAATAAATTTTGGAAGGTAAGAGTTGTAGAGCTAAGGAGGACTTTATAAACAATACAACAGACTAAGAATTTTAAGATCCAGCAGCTTTCTGTCAACTAAGCTACTAATGTCATGGAGAATTTTCTTTCCTTTACCTTCCTTAAAAAAGAAAAAGATGCAAACCCACACGTTTATGTGATTTAATACCTGAACCCATAAATTTTGTAGTATGTTTTTGGCTCTTTTATTATCTAAACTTTACTCTGTCCTTATGTGCTGTAGTCTCTCAGTCAATTTGGATCTGACTTATCAATGATTCAACAACTTTTTCCTGGGCGCACTCGGCATCAAATCAAATTGAAATATAAAAAGGAAGAACGCCAAAACCCTATGAGGGTTCATGATGCTTTGACTAGTAGAACACAAGGTATCTGTCTGTAATTTACTTTAAATTGTGAACTGTTAAATATCCATGTTGTTCATCTTGCTTGGTATGCTGATTTATTGAATTTAGTTTTATCCTGAAGTGTGCATCTTTTGAAGGGTTTATATATTTTAAGATGAAAGGCATATGCCATCCTCTATGGTAGAGATTGGAGAAATATGGTGCATTAATTAGCAGATTTTAACCTCAGGATTTATTTATTTATTATTTTTTACATTTCAGGTTTCCTATGTTTGTCTAAGTATGTTTAGGATCTAGGATGGTAGGAATTTACATGTTTGACTGCAGGCCTGATGTAATGCCTGTAATCAGGAAATAGATTTGCTTTTGTGGTTGTTGATTATAAAGATGAGGATTGAGGACCCTATAGTTTGAGGAAGAAAAAAAATTTCCATCTTATTGCGGCTGAGCAAGTGAGCTTATGAAACCTGTGTACGTACATCTCAAGTCCATGACACAGTGGAGTATCCAGTGGAGAGTGATGTAGTTTGGTCTTAACCAAACTGACTGGAATCATTATGCAAATGGGTGGAAATATCCCTTTGAACTTGTCCTTAGGCTTGTTATCTTAGTAAAATCTACTGTTGGTACTTCTAAGAACTCCGGAAGATCTGTTCAAATGAGTCCTTAGTCCTTACTAATTTCTGAATCGGCTTTTTTTGTTTGATGTGTGGCAAAAGCTAACTGCTAACTTTTTAAAAGAAGAAACTAACTTACTATGTGATCATACTATTTTTAGATAAGCTAGAAAAATGTACTGGCACAGAGAGGAGTACTGGCTTTTAGTTAGAAAAATGTACCCTTGTTAATATGCTGGTCCCCCATGGAGATAATATAGTGCTATCTGGTTATTCAGAGGCCAATGATTGCGGTGAATTCTTTCAGCAGATCGAGCCTGCATTTAGTTTTATCAATACGAAGAGCTCTTAGGCTTGTTACATTAGTTTTCTAGGAAGGAAATTTGGACTAGGGAGTTGAACAACTTAAGTCAGGATTTTATTGTTATTATGCTGATCTCCCAATCTTCCATGGAAATAAAATAGTACCAGGTGTAGAAAACATGACCCTTAGTGGATATGCTCTCAGCTCATTGATGATTCCAGTATTTATAATGCATGAAATTCATTTTATCTGCAGATATCTCACATTTCGAGCTCGTAATCAAAAGGCTGCAAGAACAAGCTGCACAAGACGAAAAGATTGATAATGATGATCCAGTTTGCGTAACAGGCAAGGACGAAGGGCCAGAGGAAGTTTCCAACGCTAATGTATGTACCATTTATTCAGTTCCATTTATTATATCTTAAGTTGGTACTCTGGATGCATGCATCTTACTGAGTTCTTACAACTTTTGGCGTTGGTGAAATCACAGGAAGATGTTGCAAATGCCAAGCAGAACGAAGAAGCTCACGTTGTTGATCAAGAGTCTCCCAAGTTGCATTACAGTGAAGATGAGGACTATGATTGGAGCTCATATAAAAGTGAATTATAGCATTTAAACAAATTCACCTTTTCTATTCCTAACACCCTTTCTATTTTTTATGATGATGATGACACCTTTATTGATAGTTTGGATGACAACCAAATGCACGGGGAAGTACTAATTCCTAGGTAGTAAGTTAGTAACAGCTTGATCTGATTATAAAAAGTGGAGCTTTTTTAAAAATTCTAGTTCCCACAAAATGGGGAAGTTAATTATTTGACCTCATTATGTTAGTGGAACTTTATATGAGAATTCCAGCTTCTTATAATAGTTATTCAAACAATTTTACTTGCTTTTAGGAAGTGAAACTGCATAGCAATCAATATATAATTACTAAATAATAATAATCTATAATAATAACCCTTATAAAAGTTGAAACTCCCTACTATTTGCTCTTTACTGTGCTTAGGAACAGTAATTTCTTGCGCTTTTACTCTACTGCCCCCAACATTAATGAATTGCCCAATCTGCCCCTGCTTGCATTGACTTGCACAGTAGTTTTCTTTGGTCGGTTCCTGGTTTCCTCCCTGCCTTTCGTTTTGCCGCCTCTTCACGAACTCCCTCAAAACCAGTTATCTTTCTGGCTTTCTCTCTCCTTCCCTCCATTTTCTCTCTCCTCCCTCCATTTTACATTTCCTGAGCATAGCTAACATCGCAAGAATGGAGCAGCAGCGGTGAAATCAAGGGCGGCGGCTCAACTAACACAAGAATGGGGAGATATTCAGGTTCGAGCTTGAGGAACTTGCTAATCAATCTGATTATTTTTCCTTTTATTTGACTGATTTAATTTTTTGTTTATTTCTGGGTTTTTTCGCAGTTGGATTTTTTGGGGGTTACAGAAATTTCTTCCCTTTTCTATGAATCTCGATTTTTGATTTTTTTTTGGCTTAGGATTTTAAAATTCTTTTGGTTTTTCTGCTTTTTTTTGTTTTAATTAGATAGGATTTGGGAGATTGATGATTTTCAGGTTTTTTTTTTTCTTGGTAATGCCGGTTCTGGTGATGGTAAATTGGGCGTGAAAAATAGCTTCATCAGCTTCAATGATGGAGGAGAGAGACTGTACTAATTTTGGCTCACTAGAATAATCGAACACTTCCTTTTTCTCTCTCCTCTCCCAGAAAAAAAAAAAAAAAAAAAACCCCATTTTCAAAACCTTAATTTCACCTGCAAATCTCCTCACTCCTTTGCCATAATCTCTCTCCACTTTGATTGCAATCTAATTGCAATTGAAATTGTCTACCAACTCCTTTAATACATTCGTCTTTTCGATCCAGATTTCGCAGTATTATACTTAATTTTAGTGATTGTTGAATTTATGATTGGTTTTCGGTGGTTGTGATTCTCTCGAATCGATGATTTGATCGGCGAATTTTCGAGAATTTGGGGTTCTGGTTTTGTGTAGGGTGGTCGAAATGGCGGCACCAAACCCAGGGGATCTGTTTGATACGTATTTTAGGAGAGCTGATTTGGATCAGGATGGTAGAATTAGTGGGGCGCTGAAGCCGTCGCTTTCTTCCAGGGTTAATTTGCCGAAGCAAGTTCTCGCGCAGGTTTTTTTTTCTTTTCTCTTTCTATTGAATTTTCTCTCTCCTGGTTATTTGGTGGTTTGTTTAGCGACTTTGAATTTGATGTTTTGGTGAATTTGATCTAAATTTATGATTGTCGAAAAGTTGTTTGGCATTTTGTTGGTTAATTATGACCATTTTCAGGTTGAATTTGTTATTTGATTTATGAGGGTTGTCGTTGGATCATCAGAACTGGTAGAGTAGTGAGATGGGATTATTGGCTAGAATGTTTGATGGTGTTTTTAAAAGCTCACTCAATTGACATGGTTGTGAATCTTGTGATTGATTTTAATAGAGGAAATTTAGCAAGCAGCGGTGAAATCCAAGGCAATGTCTTAACAATCAGAAGAATTGGATGAAATACTACATCGCCAATCTCCTATCCAACAATTATAGGTACACTTGCCAAATTTCTCCTCTTTTTATAGCGTTTCTTGATTATTTTATATCTAGGTTTTCTTCATTTTCAATCAAATTATATTTTTTTTTGAAACAACTTTCGATCAACTTTAGGCTAACCCTTCTATCGCCTTGCATCATCAGTTCATTACTCTTTAAACAATGGAATTCATGGTTTGCTTATTCTCGATTACTCTATACTTAGTTAGAAATCGGTAATTATGATAGTTGTGAACCCTTGTGCTCAAGGAGTTAAAAGCAGCCGGGTGGTTCTTTCTGTTTCCTGTAACCAACATATTAGGTATCTTATTTTCTTAGTTCTTGTTCTCATGTTGTTTATGTATTAAAGTGATCTTGTCAAGGTATAATATTGCTTTCTTATTTTTGATTTGGAGTGCTGATATTAATTTCAGATGCATTGAAATATATATATTTTCTGATTTTTAATTGAATTCATCTTATGGAATTTATATGTTAGACAAAATAATTAATTATTTTGCTTTTGGATTTTGTAAAATTTGCTAATTTCTATTGGAAATACTACGCATATGATCGTTGTGAGCAATTGTATCTTTGTACTGGGGCACGTCAAATATATGATCATTGTGGGCAATTTACCCTGGTCCATTTCCTTTTCAATTCCTATCTCTTTTATCTAAATTTTCAATTAGTTTCTTCCTCCGCACCTAATTTAAAGGGAATAATAAACCTTTGCCACAATGTTAGTTTGACCAGTTACTTGAATTGCCAAAAGAAAATTTACTTGTAGTTTGGAACATGATTTGGGAGATTTTCGGGAGAATCGAAGGTGGGTGTTTGGTATGATTGGCTTGAATGTACATCTAATACCTAACATTGCCTATTATAATAATATAGTTGTTAAGGGTTGTTAAAGTACAAATTCTAACTGTTATATTTTGTTGTTTGATGGGTTTTTAGTATGAAAACTTTATAGCTTAGATACATTAATATGCTCTTTTTTCCCCTTTTTCTGGTAACCAATTATCAGTAACACCCTCTATTATTGTATAGAATTGAACGACAAAAAATGCTTTGGGGGCTCTGAACTTCTAAACTTTCTCCTCACAAGTATTTCGAACACTGTGAGTAATTACTGATTTTTTAAATTGTGTTTTGGAAGATATGCGAGCTCTCGACGAGTTGAGGAAGCTGAAATTGTTCTTCAAGGATGAGAGCAGCCATGGTCTTTCAGTTTCGGATCTCTATGAACTTATTCAGCATGCTGACAATGTGTTACCGAGGCTGTAAGTCTTAATCTAAGAACTCATTTTCGTAATTGTGTATTGAATGTTGCTATTGGAAAAATTGGAAGGCTGAACTCATTTTTGGCTATTTATGTGTTTTGGTTTGTGATTAGAGCTATCATTGTTCTGGAAGGTTACATGTAGTTGGTTATTTTTGTAGGGAGGGGGAGTGCGGAAGCAATAAATTTTAAAGAGTAATTTGCTAATCATCATATTATGTTTAACAATTGTCATGCTTTACAGCAACTTTGTTGATCATCATGTTAGTACAAGAGAACAAATTTCTCTCTAGGACAGTATAGAGGGTGTGACTTTACAACATCACAATTTGATCCTGATGTCAGTACTCTTTTTTAATTTAGAAACTAAATTTTCTTCAAAATCTTTTTCTATTATTGCATGGTTTTGTTTTTTTTATTTTTTTATTTTTTTCCTAATTTTTTTTAAAAAAAACATTAACATGTTTTGTTTGTCATAATTCATTCAGTTAAGCTGTGTTACAGTCTAACAGAGCATTTTGGTGATGATGATGCAACTCAGATTGATTTAGACCTTGATTAGGTAATTACATGCTCATCTCTTTATTTGCTTACATTACTGATTTGACTCTGATTCAAAAGGATCATTTTTCTTTAGCCAATATTGTCAGTTTCTTGTGCTGGTTTACCCTATGTTTTACAAGGTTCTTTTGAATATAACTTCTTGATTTTGGTGTTTCCAAACTATTTTCTTTAGATGAACTTTCACTTATCGATCTTGTTTCACGACTACTTCAGTATTCACCCAGTCTTCGTTCTACTGCAGTAAGTAACCATCGTCACCCATCACCCCTTTTTTCCCCCACTTTTTTTTTGCACAATCTCTTTTGGTCATTTTTAATTTCTTATTTCCTTATTTGACCTTGCCTTTATGTAACAGCCTCCCTCCCCTTCCGAGCAAAAAAAACTTTTACAGGAAATGATGGAATGAGTTGAATTCAAGGAAAAATGAGTCCATCTACATTAAATTTCCTGTAAGTAATTTTGTTAAAATATATTTTATGGTATTACCTGTTCGTAATTTTTTTGCAAGTTTATAACCTGAACTTACCTTTTCCCCTTACTATTAGTTTGCAGTTGGATGCATGATTTCTTCCTTTCTTTGATGAGCTTATGGTTCCCAATACTCGCCTTGCAAACGGTTGCCCACTGTCACCTTTTTTCAATTTCGTGTAAGAAGTATGGACAGTTAGTATTACATTTGACGTCAATTTCGTTATATGTTCACTAGCTGAAATAAAATAAGAAATTGATTCTTGAGCTAATCCATGTGGGTCTAAATTTATTGCATGAATTTCAGTATTCCACGTGACAGATCAATTTGTTAACAAGATTACTACTGATGATGAAGCTCTCATTCAGTACATTAAGAAGGTTTTTTTCTTTTTTCTCAACACTGTACTTTCACTTTTTTTTTTTAACATTTTATGTTACATTGCTACAAGTACTTGAGGGAAAATGAAGAGTTCTTATAAAATTGTTATGGTTGAAATTTTGAAGGTTATATCCAAGAGAAATTCAGAAGAGGCGTAAGTATGCCCAGGGAGGGAGGTGAGACCTTGACATGTTGTAATGAAGCACACGGCCTTGGAGATGACTATGACAGATCAACCCGGCTTACTATCTGAAGTGTCAGCTGAGCTTGTTGAGCTGGGGTGCCATATCAGTGCGCTGGGGTGCCATGTCAGTGCCTGTGTTGCATGGACCCACAAACACCAGGGTGCATGCATCATCTACGTGAATGACCAGGAATTGAGCAGACCTACAACTGATCAGAAATGCCTTTTTCATATATCTACACAACAACAAGGCCTTTTTTGAGCTGAGCCTAAGTATCGAGTTCAAATTGCAATCATTTTAGTAATGTCTACATCAATGGAGGTATAAGTTTTTTTTTTTTTTTTTTTAAAAGAACTATACATAGGGAAATGGATAGCTTCAATATGAATGTAGTTGACATGATGATGATGCGTGTATGTTTGCGAATCACAAGCATTATATAAGTATTTGGTGGTAGATAAGGTTAAATATGATCATTGTGAATACAATGTGGTGAGATGTTAAATTGACTAAACGAGAGTGAGATTGGGCTATTGTCTTTGTTTTCTTGTTAGATTACAAGCTCTTTTTGTACTGTATTGACTTGATGCTATTGTCTTTGTTTTCCAATATATGAAATGATGCTGCCTTTGGTTTGTCCAATTATAGAGCAATTTCTTAATTTGCTTGTAGTTCTGAATCTAAGGGAGCTTAGTTATTGGAGTTACCTTGTAACTTAACAACAAGATATTTTTTTTTTAATGTTTGTAATCTTTAATTAGATAATTGGAATAATAGGTGTTAAATTTTGTTTGAATTGAAAGGGTTTCTAAATTTGTTGTTTGAATAATCTTTTATTCTCATCTAATTAATCGGAATTGGTTTCTAAAAATGCTAATTGCTACTAAATATTTTAAAAAAAAAAAAATTTAAAAACATAAAAAAAAAAAAAAAAAAAAAAGCATAAAAAAAAACTGGAATTGCTTGCTTCAGAAACAAATTGATTATAAGGTCTATGGTGATTTAGGTCATCTTTGCTGATGGAACCTTCATTGATGGTAGTACAAGTGAGCTGTCATGTGATGGACCACTGAGGGAGCCGTTTGCGTATTCTATCAGTTCTTTACTTATAATCCAACTTTTGGATCTATCTCACATCGCATGTTTTTCTTATTGCAACAATGAACAAATTTATGGTGTTCTTTATTTATATGGGATGTTTGAAGTCATGTTAAATTGAATTGGGATGCCTGAATCTGATGCAGGGTGGTACTCTGGGGATTGGTTTTGGGAGAGGTTCTTAAATCCATGAGTTAGAGCAGAGAAGCCAGTAGCATTTTTCTTCCAGAATTATTCTTTTAGCCGAGGTAAGGAGAATCCTTGTGGCACTTTAAATCTGTAGCGTTAACCAAAGAAATTCGATAGCATTTGGGACCCAAATCTTTCATAGTAAATTCTGAGCTGAGAAGAGAGAGAGAGAGAGGTAGAGGGGAGCAACGAGAGTGAGCTTTTAATCGATTGTTTTAAAAGTATAAGATGACTATAGGCAAGTAGGAAGATACTTCCTTAAATTTACATAGCCTTCAAAAATAATTTTGAGGAGAGCGTGGAGAAGGAAGGTAGAAGGAGAGCAAAATACCTTTAAGAGGCATAGTGATCATTTTAAAAGTTAAAGCATAAGACAACTATAAGCAAGAAGGAAAATACTTCCTTAAATTTGCGTTGCCATTAAAAATAATTTAGAGGAGAGAAAGGAACAATAATGAGAGGGAGAAGGAAGGTGGAAGGAGAGAAAAAACACTTTTAGGAGACGATTGTTAGAGTGTAGTAATAGCAGCAGCAGTAGTAATAGCAGTAACAGCAGCAGTAGTAGTAGAAGCAGCAGCAGTGGCAATAGCAGTGACAGTGACAGTGGTAGTAGTAGTAATGGGAAGAGTAGTAGTAGTAGTATTAAAAGTAGTGGGAAGAGTAAAAACACGTAGAAAGACTATAAATTCCACAAAATCATAAAAGAGAAGTGATTAATGGACAAAGAGGAAAAGGAAGGAGGAAGGGAATTCGGAAGAGACTTTCTAAAACACAAGTGAAAGCAGGTAAATAAATATATTCTTATTGTTGTATAAATTACACTAACATTTTAGTACTCTTAATCTCATAATGAAAGCAGGTTTCAAATAGGTTTAGTATTGAATTCAAAATCTTCATCGGAAACCACATCTAAATTAGCAAGGTAGAAGCCTTGGGGATCTAAAGACGAGATAGGAATATGTTGGGAAGCTGAACGTCAATATTCCAAGGTGATCATGATTTGAACCAAGGTCAATGTTAACTAAGATATGGTATTCTTGGAAAATTTGACAACCTTGGGTTTTTAGTAATAATGGAGCTCTTTCCTCTCCTATCCCAAGCAGTGTAAAGCATGAGTATCCATATCTCATGGGAAAATGGCATGGAATTGTGTAACTAAATTTTAATATACTGTTGGTTTCTCTCAACTGTAATATGTAATCCTGCGTATAGATATTAGGTTGGAGAAATTAGCATTATTTACAAGACAGGGATTTTTCATGTACTTTTTTTTGGGTAGTAATTCCTGTACTCTTTATACCTTTATATTCCTGTATAATTAATTGGTTATAAACATTTATTTAGAAAACAAATTTGCATTTTTAGATATTGCAATATTTGTAACATAAAACACAGTTGTAATTAGTTAAGCATTATCCAATCCATCAAAAATTATCACCACACGTTTATCAAATTTGGGCTATTGCACAGTTATTATTTTTTAAGCAACATCTAGAGAGCTTGTTTTATGCACCCAGGTGTATTGTACACCAATGAGTATTTTGTTCTTATTTTGATGATTGTTTTTTATTTAATCATGAAATGAAGAGCAAATAATAACCTTGGGTTACTTAGGTGTACGGTACACTCGAATGTATGTAACAAATTCTACATCTATAAAGTCTTATTGATATATAGGGCGTTTTTAAGATAGCATTTCTAGAATATGATTTATTTTAAAAAGAGAAATACTTGACAAACACAATATCAAATACGAATGAGTGACAGTGTGAGTGGGGGAAGGGGAGGGGAGGGGAAGGGATAAATAGAAGGATGTATTCTAAAATTAAAGAAGTAGATAGTTTAGAGGATAGAGAGAGAGGAGAGAAAAAAGAGAGAACTTTTAACGAATTGATTGTATTAAAGTATAGGACAAGTACAGGCAAGTAGGAAGATATTTCCTTAAATTTACATAGCCTTCTAAATAAATTTTGAGGAGAGCGAGGAAAAGGGAATGGGAAAGGGAGCAGGAAGGTAGAAGGAGAGCAAAACACTTTTGGGAGGCAAAACTTGTGTTTTTGCGTATATTGATTTATAGTCTTTTCTTAGAACACACTTCTTTCAATAGTTAGTTTTTGTATGGTGATCTTGTAAAACTCTTTATTAAATGTTGAATATTAATACTATATTACGATTATTTTACATACCATTTATTGTAAAACTCTTTATTTAATGTTGAATACTAATACTAAAACGTTCAACCTTATGGTAGAATTGTGCTAGATTCACAAGTAAATGTTTTTTAAAATGTTTATAAACCATATGAATCAAGTGTTAAACTGTAAACGAAGATGTAAAATGGTTAGAAGGGGTATGAAAAGAAGGGAACGAGATATCAAGTAGGGATTAACTTTGGAAATTATGCTAAATCATTAGGTAAGGAAGAAAGGAAGGATAAACTAGAGAGAGAGATAAAGAGAAAGAGAAATTAGAGAGAGAGGGAGAGGGAGAGAGAGAGAGAGAGAGATTTCAAGGTAATAACAACAGTGAAAGGAAAGGGAGGGGAAAGAAAAAGAGGGAAGGGAAAGGGAGGTGAGGGAAGGGAAAAGGTGATATTTCATTTTCCTTCTAAATCTCTCAAACAATGGAGGGATTTGATTTATTAAAAAGGGAAGGAAATGGATCCTTTAATTTCCTCATCTTCCATTCTTGCATTAGATATCCAAACAAAGGATATACATCCCTCTTTTTTTCTTCATCTCTCTTTATCCAAGCATAGTGTTACTGTTTAATTGTGAAATTGAAGAGGCTACGAAGTAGGGAAATTGAGAGAAATTAGGAGTATGAAAATGAAGAAAGAAAAAGGTTGAGGGGCTTCAACAAAGGAGAAAGAGATGAACATTTTAGAAGACCATTTTTATAATGTAATAAAGGAAAAGATAAATAGTATTTTTCATAAAGATTCTAAAATTTGTAAAACCATATAAGTGATCAATTAGTAAAATGTAAAGAAAGATGGAAAATGAAAGAAGAGCAAGTGAGAAAGGGGCCGGCTAATGAGAGCGACTGTTAAAAAGCAATAAGTTAATGATTATTACAAGTTGGAAGATTAAGAGTATGAAAATGAAGAAAGGTGTCATCCAACAGTCAAATAACAACAAATAAAACATAAATATCAATATACATTTACATTATAAGTCAAGTGTTACACTATAATATCAATTCTATAGTGACTTGGGCATCAACTATGAACAAAGAATCGAACTTATTTCTAATGAGTAAAATTACGAAACACGTTATATACAATGTTTTTAACCATTCACATGCATACAAACCTAAACACATTACAATCATTAAAGCATATCCAATTAACATAAACCAAACTTGCATGCATTTTAATAATCTTCAAGATAACACATTTATTAACATGAACAAATTTACATATCATAGCGTTGGGGGGCGCGCGCACCAACAACTAGTATAACTAAATATTAAAACAGACACTAAGAGTAACACGTGTCATATCTTGGTGTTGTTTTTTCCTTCAAAAGTTAGGGCTAGGGTTTCGAGGTTTCTAGTGTAAGTGGTTTTGGGTTGTCGGGTTGGACGGTTCTCTCCTCTAGTTTGTTCCCTTTCTTAAGTATGTTTGTTCTTAGTATTTATCAGAGTTTACTTGTCTTAGTTTTTGTTATGGTATATTTTAGCCCCCGTTGGTTGTTTTCCGGGCTATTTAGTTGTTTTGGCTATAGTATTTTGGATGGTTGTGTGCAGTGGGAGTTAAGCCCCTTTGTTAAGGACAGTGGGGTGTTTACTGTGGTAAGAGAGGTTACAAGTGCGGTTGTTGGGGGTTTGAACAAGAAGTTGGCCTTGGCTAAGGTGATGTGTGTATGTTGTTAGAGTGGTATGGGTTTGGTTTCTCTTCCCTCGGATGTAATGATTTTTTTGGTCATTACTCCTGATTCTTATTATCTGAAGCAGGCGCCCAAACTTTGTTTTGGGGTTTCTCAAGCCTCAACGTTGTCAAAGCTTTCTTGCCAACAAGGAAAGCCATTGATTGGAAGATCACTAGTTCAAGTGACTTGTTTGATGACCTTACTTGGTGATGAGTTGATCCCGCCAGGTAAGGAAGTGCTAGCCATGGTCAAACAGTTTCGAGCCCCTCCGTTTCTCTCTTCATGGAATGTAGTATGTTGTTGCTCCTTGGTTTGTAAGGAGTTCCTTATCTGCAACTTATCCGGCCAATTCAAGTTTATTTTCGTCTTTAATCTCAAAATTTGTTGTAATGGCTTTAGTGCTAAAAGCCATAGTTTAAGTTTAAGTTCTTGTTCTGTAGGTTGTAAACTCTGATTTAATGAATATATTTGCTCTTGTCAAAAAAAAAAAAAAAAAAAAAAATTGATACAACTATAATACATTGATTCTAAATCTTTTATATTATCTTTATGACAAAAATATTCCTTTTTATTTGGTGTTTAAAATTCTTTCATGCACATTTACTTTAAAATATTTTTCCAACTCCTTTTTAATTATCTATAAACAGAGTAATGTTAGATTTTGCCAAAAAAAGTAATACTCTAATAAAATTGATTCATATTATTGATTTTTAAAAAATTACTTTAAAGCATCACTTTTATTTGTTAGATAAAATTATTAATTTTTTTTTAAAAAAACATTAGATTTACCGTGCATAGCACGGGGCCTAAGCTAGTGATAAATTCAATTGAAGTGTAAGCCTTTAACCTTCTATGTGCAACCAAACGACCTTGGAGACTACAATTTTGCTCAACTTAGCCTAGAACCTTTCTAGAACCACTAATTCATCATTTGACAAATTCCTGCACTCTTTATGCGTTTTCATGGATGAGTTGACTACTACTACTAGTAGTAGAGTAGTAGTAGCATATAAGAGTAACTACATACACCCTTGAGAAAAATGTACCTTGCACTTTTCTATGCAACTTAATATTCTCATGGTCATTTAATACATAATTGATATTTAATCTCAATAGGCGGTGGGCCGGTGGCATTGATAATAATGAAGAATTTAAACTAATTACTAATAGCATGAAGGTCATTAACTAAATTTCATGTTAATTCTAAATCACGCGTCTCTGTTATGAGTCTTATCCAATGGCACAAATCAAAAATACTTCAATGATGCAGATGTAAGTATGTTAATTGTGCTATACTAATAGGGTGGAGGGGAAGAGAGGAGAGGTGGTGCTCATGTTGTGATTATAGTCTATAATTGGGTCTAGTAAGCAACTAAAGTCATTTTGTTAAATACGGGTTTGGGTCGCACTCGCAAATCACAAGTTCAAAGGAGGTTCCATCCCAAAATTATATGGCAATAGGAGTAACCCCTTAGCCTTATGAAGTGATTCACTCTCTCTTATTCAACCAATGTGAAACACTTACATATGATGATACTTGAGAGATCTATTCTTCAAGTAGAATTTCACTCATATTCTTTTTTTTTTTTAGCTATGTGTCATGTGCTCATAGTTTTTCCAATGTTATGGGCAACTTTCCTTGTATATATATGAGGTTGGCCCCGTGTTTACACCGATACATGTATCTAGGTGTAAGATACAAATATTTCCTGTCACGTTCCTTAAACTACATATTTACGGAGTAATAGTGTATTTTGCTTGCTTGTTGTACCTATGGAGAAGGCTCGCCCCACAATGCCCACACAAAATGTCATCGCTCGTCCCTTGACATATAGCAATGCAAGTAAGCATCCAAGGACCGAATATCCGATGCTGAACTCCTAAACCAGCAACACTTGCAACCTCCAATTTCCACATCTTTTCTTGTGTCCATCATCTTCCCACGAAAACCACCATTTTTGACCCTTTAACAATGGCTTTTCCCCATTTTCTCTCTCCTCCCTCACCATTCACAACACCCCACCATTAACATGCCCCAATCTCAACCACCGCGTCATCCACCGTCCAATCAATTCCACCCCACCAATCCAACGGCCTCTAATCAACCACCTCTTCCTTGCTTCTCAAAATCTGCTAATTTGCCTGACTTTCTCCTCACCGCTCTCTCTCTCTTCCTCTTCATCACCGCCCCTAAACACCATCTTCCTCCTCGCGCACTTTCTCTCTCCTCCCCTCCTCCGTCAACCAATCGCCGCTTCCTCCGCCTTACTTCAACCATGTCCCAAAACCCTAACCCTAATTCCACCGCTTTTCCCACCCCTCAATCGCTTTCCGATTGGCTTAAACCTCGATTACCCTCTGATTCATTTGCTTCTTGGGGCACAAAACCCGGCACTAAAAATGTTCATAATCTATGGCTTGAGCTTGCTGATGGTGAAACTTCGCTTGTTGATAAATCTCCCCCAATTCGGAATTTGGAGGTTGTTTGTGTCAGGGTTTTGTATAATCATAACAGAGTATTGATTGAATCTCATCAAGAGTTATCTGATGGGTCGATACGTAAAAGGGGTCGTCCATTATCGGAGAAATTGAAGTCTGGTGAGGATATTGAGGCGGCTGTTAAAAGGGCGATTAAGGAAGAATTGGGGTCTGTGATTTTTAGGGGTAATGAAATGGGAAATGTGAATTTTGATCAGATTGTGAGGGTTTTGATGGATTCTTATGAGAGGAAGGTGGAGGAGAGGGTTTCGGTTTCGTACCCGGGTTTGCCGGCTGTTTATGTGTTGCATACTGTGGATGCATTTGTGGAGGGGTTGCCTGAGGGTGAGTTTGCTACAGAGGAGGAGACAGAGTATGAGGGTTGTGATAATGTGGTGGCTGATGAGGCGGTTTCGGTTAAAAGGCATTTCTGGAAATGGGTTCCTGTTGATTTTGTGTGATATTGGTAGCTGCGGCCGAACATTGTTTAAGTGTAGTGGCATTGGAGACGGTTGTGGCGGTTGGGATGCACAAAGTTGGTTCCTTCACCGGAGTATTCTTGATGAATAGATTGGTGAGTTTTGAGAACCCTCAATTGTTGTAGTTATTGTTTTGGTGATTGTGAAGATGAGTAAAATAACATGTTTCTTTTTGTGAAATTGTTGTATAGAATGTATGACATTTGACAATTTTGTTTCCTGTGGATGTGTAAATATCAACTGTCTACATTTTGGACTACTTATTAAACGAAATAGATTGAAATGAAACAATTTTGTTTATTGCTGTCAATCTTTTGAAATTTTGTTGTCTTCAATGATGAATTATGCTTTTCTTCTTTTATGCAAACTTTTGTGATAATTTATGTTTGTGAATTTTGTATCTGTTAGATGATATCAAATGTCCATTCGTACGTAGTTAATGAGTTATTTGGGGAAGGTATTGATGTTAATTTGACAGTGGACATGCACCGGAATAGATATGAAGGTTATAGAATAGTTAAGCCTTGGTCCTCGTGTTTTATTGTGTTCTTGTTTCATTATCTGTCCCTCTGTAACTGTCCTCACAGAGGAGTTGAGGACCATATCTATGTCTTCTGTGCTTAGTTTCATAGCTTATTCTGTTGCTACGAGTGAAGCTTTAGTCTAATGATGCATTTTGATGTAGTTACTAGTTAGATGTTTTCAGCTTATAGAAGTTGGTCCAATGGGAAAACTGTGAGATCTTTTCCTAACCGATGCTGAATTTTCATTCTCCATTTTTCCGTCAAAACAAACAGAGCCTGAATTTTAGCAAATTATACAAAGTACTTATTAAGCTGTAAATACAACTTTAGTTGGAGTTAGAGGTCAGTATCGTGCTGTGTTTTCTGTGAAGTTGTTTATCCTGAAGTTTTTCTGAAGCTATAGTTGATATGTTTGTGTTCTGTGTTTTATTTTATGGACTTGAAATTTCCAAGCTGATGACCCTTGAGTTTCCATAGCGTTGAGAAAGGTGAGATAATACTGAAGGTTTAGTCATTTAATGCATTTATAGTTTTAAGCTTTAACTACAACAACAATGTCAATCTGGAGATTCTGGACTTTGGTGGGGTTATGAGAGGTCTAGGACTCTAGGTTATACAAGCACAAAGCTTGTTTCATAAAATTAGTGTACGTTCATAATTTTAAATGTGAAGCATGTGAAGTACAGCCCAAGATAAGCAACACTATAAGTTATTTACTTATTTATGATAGGGAATTACAAGATCCTATGGTGTATCAATATTAAGATGATTTTACGCTGAAAGAAAAGAGAATCTTATGGGGTATCTTATTTTATATACTTAAAACAGTGATAGTTCAACCTAAACACTGTTTTTAATAGCATTGCTGTACCCATTATCAAATGCCTTTGACCATAGCATGACGCCTCCATATTTAGAGGAACCCTTGATTGTGGGAAGGACTTGAGATGTGAGAACATCAGCAGGAATAAAACCATTATTGGGCCTATTGGTAGCCTGGTCTGATGCTGGTATTCCGAGGAAGATCTGGTTAGCTTGAACAGAAGTCCACTGGTTCCATGAGTTCAAGAGATTATCAGTACTGCCGTCATATTGGCAATTGGCAGTGGGGTTGTTATAGAACTGAATCCACACGTAGTCAAATAGCCCTGTGGCTATGGCAGTGTCCAATTTGGCATCTGGGAAGGGGCATTGAGGAGCTGCTGATAAGTAAACTGTTTTCTGGCCATTGTTATGAACTGCCAAAGCTCTAGCTAGGTCATCATAAAATCTGTTGTCACCAGTCTCGATATCAAAATCGATACCATCGAGAACTGCATCTCCTAGGGGTCGAGAGCTGGACTGACCCCCTAGAAAATTGTTCCAGAGATAATCAGCAAGCTGGTTTGCATCATCGGTTGAGGAGAGAGAGTAGCCTTCAGTCGCACCTCCTATAGATAGGAGAACCTTAATGCCTGCCTGTTTGCATGCGTTGATCTCACTGCTTAGACTGCCACAAGTTGTAGCAGGGTCACAGTGTCCTGCTAAGTTTAGCACTGGGATTGCCCCGTTGCCAAAGCTACTTAGAAAAGCTAAGATTACAGTACCGTAGTTTTGGGAGTTACAAGTGTCAACAAGACTTCCCTCGTTGCCATTTTGACCCCAGTATATGGCTATTTGTGATCCCTGAGAGGGCTTAAATGAAGCTAAAATCACGAGAGATACTAAAAATGAAACTGATGCAATTCTGGCTGCCATGTTTATTTTATAGGTTGTATATGCAGACAGTGCTTATGTTGTGAATTTGGATTTCGATAATTAGCAATATATATAGATGTTTGAGTCAATGAGGTCAAGCGGGAATACTGGAAGTCTGGAACAAAGCGTATAGGAGGGGGCTGTACAGCTCATCATAGAGTTGTATTGTATGTTAAGAGGAATATGTCAAAAAGAGTCTAGTCCCCGTCAAAAAAGAAAAGTCTAGTCAATGAGGTTCTATTTATACTAATCAAAATGTCAAGGTTATGGATGATCTACGTATACAGTTTGAAATTGGCTTCTCCATTTTTCTTTTTATTAGTATTTTTGGTGTAATGATTTATTTAAAATTTGGGTTTGATTTATAATTTTAAAATATACAGTCTTTAATTTGTACTCCCTCCATCCCATAATATAGTTCTTGTTTTCCTATTTTGGAGATTCAAAATGTTGTTCTTATTTCTATTTTTGGATAGTATGTAAAGACCATTATACCATCACTTTTTTTACTTTATTCATTGTACTTTCTAATTTACCCTTGAATTTTGCACATGCTTTGTACTTTTTCCACTTTCTCCTCCTATTTCTTAAATATCATGAAAAAATACAAATAGAAACTATACTATGGGACAAAGGGAGTAGTATAAACTATGGATTGATAATAATTAATAATTACTTTCATCATTAATACAATAAGGTCAATAGCAACAAGACTAATAGTACTATTAAATTTCATGTTGTTACAATATTTATATCAACATGAGGTCTAAAAGTATAAGTGGACACTTGTTATTGTCATTCATGACTAGAGTTCCTCGGGAATAACATGCATCTTCTCTAGATTTGGAAATAAAAAAAGTGGCATACTTTGTTTGTCAATTTATTCTATTTTAACTCTTTAATGTCGGCTATCAAATATGTTACTCAAGCAATTATTTGTATGGAAAACTCAAGTGAAGTCATCTGGTGATTTTGTAATGAATTATGCTCCTTATTTTTTTTTTTATAAAGCATCTCCATCTGAGGTGGCATTACCACTGGAGGTGGAATAAAAGGAAGAGCGGGAGGAGGTTGGCTCACCACCGGATGTTGACATACGTGGCAGGATAATATATGAAAAAAGAAGACTTAATACCTCATAAGTAGTCAATTAATACCGTAAAATATTCAAATTCCAACTTATTTTATTAGCAGTAAAATGTTTCAGATTTCAAACATCCATCATTTTAGTAAAGTACTTGTCAAGGGGAAAATTGTATTGATTTTGTTTGGTAGGATGAATGCATGGAATCGTCTCAAAAACATCCACGTATAATATGGGGGAACAATAATTGAACACCCGCTGATTTTTACAATTCTCATTCAAAGAGGATTTGGAGTCGGTCAAAGTTTTGTGTAGATGATTAAGTGCAGCTTGAGACCTATTGATATAATTGACTTTTTCCAAATTATCAACTAGCTCACAAAATCTTAATTGAACCACTTGGTAGTTTGTACTAGGAAGGAGGAATTGATCGATTATATGGAGGGTGTACAGTTTTTTCTGAAAAATCAACTCATCCTCCTTTTTTTCAACTTCCATTTTGATAATATGCTCCCTAAGTTCAGAAGTAACCTCCTCCCGCTCTTCCTTTGATGCCACCTCAGGTGGATATGCCACCTCCGATGGAGAATGAGGTAACTTCAGGATATCAAGGGTAAAATGATTGCTGTTAGCCTGATGTATTATATGGTGAAGCTTTTCATCGCATTCTCTAATACCATTAAACAAAAAAAAATTCAAATTTTATTTTCTGATTGTTTGCTATTCTTGCACCTTATTATGTCAATTGTTTAACATCGCACCTTCACTTAAAATAATTGTCGAAAAACGTTCGAGCTGATTTTGATTCTCTCAGCAAGAACAGGGCATGGGAAGGATAAGTATTAAGTAGTTGCATTTATCTGTAGAGAATTGCTAAGGAACATTCTTCCCTGGGTTTAATTCATAAGTGTTCACTGTGACTGCTGAAGGTTACAGCACTGCTGTTAAGTTTGGGAAGTGTGGTAACTGGTTACGGCCTCAGCTACATTGCTGAGAGGGACACGCCATACCTCAAAACCTTGAAGTCATTGAAGAAAAGATTATACTGTAGTCAGTTGATGTGATAATGTATGGGGAAAAGAGAGGAATATCATGTTTGATTATTGCCATGATCTAGGCACTCTTAAACATCTTGTTCTTGCATAAATCCTTTGCACTAAAATAGTTAATTGCTTTTAGAATGAAGCAAGTTTCATTCTTATGCTGTAGGCCATATTGGAATTAAATGAAGGTTTCATATTTGAGGTTGGTTATTTAAGATTTGTAGCTTAGCGTTGTCTAAGGATGATTAGATATGCTTTAGAAAGGGCTGATTGGTTGATCTTTAAAATCGCAAGATTTTTTTGTTCCTTACAACCATAACGACATAACCTCAGTTAGTGTATAGTATAATAGTAGTAATGTAGTACCACACATCCGATGTGCTACCAAAAATATGAGACTGGACTTGTTTGGTAAATCCTAGAGATCAACTTGTAGCTACTCCTATAAGATGTTTTTCAATGTTTGCCTTAAGAGATCGAGTGGATTTAGTATGGTGGTACTACCTTATTAGGAGGGTTCTAATGAACCAATACCAGCTCTGAGTTGGGCTTTTTACAGTGATACAATGGACTGATTGTCTCTGCAAAGTAGTAAAAAACAACTCAAATAGAACAACGAAATACGCCATTTATGAGTATTACAAGTTTCTGTGGTGTGTAAAATCTAAGATGGTTACATGAGGTACTTATAATCTTCTTTATTTTTGATATTATCTAGAACATGGGAACAATAATAGTGGTTCAACTTAAACACTGCTTTTAATAGCATTGCTGTATGTATTGTCTTTATCATATGCTTTAGACCATAACATGACTCCTCCATATTTAGAGGAACCCTTGATAGCGGGTAGGACTTGAGATGTAAGAGTGTCTGCTGGAATAAAACCGCTGTTGGCAGCATCAGTGGACGCTGGTAGTCCGAGGAAGACCTGGCTAGCTTGAACTGATGTCCATTGGTTCCATGCATTCACGAGATTATCAATGCTGTTATCATATTGACAAGGGGGATTGTTGTAGAACTGAACCCACACATAGTTGAAAAGGCCTGTGTTTATGGCAGTGCTTAAGCTGGCATCTGGGAAGGGACATTGAGGAGCTGCTGATAAGATAACTTTATTCTGGCCATTGCTATGAGCTGATAAAGCTTTAGCTAGATCATCCCAGTATCTGTTGTCACCAGATTCAATATCGAAATCAATACCATCCAGAACCGCATCTCCTAAGGGTCTAGAGTTAGATTGCCCCCCTAGATAATTGTTCCAGAGATAATCGGCAACCTGGTTTGCATCATCGGTTGAGGACAGTGAATAGCTTCCAGCCCCACCACCTATGGAAAGGAGCACCTTGATGTTTGCCTGCTGGCATGCTTTGATGTCATTGCTTAGACTGTTACAATTTGTAGCAGGGTCACAATGCCCAGCTAGGTTAAGCACCGGGGTTTGCCCATTCCCAAAGGTAGCTAGGAAAGCTAGGATCACAGTACCATAGTTTCCGGAGCTACAAGTGTCAGCGAGACTTCCTTCATCGCCATTTTGGCCCCAATATATGGCTATTTGGGCGCCATGAGAGGACTTGAATGAAGCAAAGATTAAGAGAGAAATTAGGAACAAAACTGATGCTATTCTGGCTGCCATGTCTGTTTTAGATGTATGCAGGCAGTGTTTAGGTTGTGAGTTTAGCATTCGATAAGTAGCGATTTATACACATGTTGGAGTCAATGGGGTCAATGCAAGAAATTTCTGGGCTTTGAAGTTCATGTCTGAAAAGAAGCAAGTCGGAGGAAATTGTCTTAAGATTTAAGAGTATGCTTGGAAAGTCTAAGTCAAGCTATAAAGTCTGTATGGTATTGCTCTATTTGCCTAATTGGTTGGACTAGATGCAAAGTGTCCTAAATTGACAAAAATTGTTGTTTGATTTAAGTAAGAGCATTATTTATGACACTTCTTATCCTGTTAGTTGCCTAATTGCAAGACAATTAGCCGGGTTTGTACTAATGAGACTTCTGTGTCAACATATGCTATTCAATTTCTGAGCATTATTTATGACACTTCTTACCCTGTTAGTTGCCTAAAAGAGTAATATACCGCTCTGTCCTTTCTAAACCGAGTTCTATATTAATGGGAGTCATTTTTACCTGTATATTGGCATTCTATTTTGAGAACTTTCCTGCATCTAAATTACTTACCTTTCTCTTCTCTGTATTGATCTTAGTCATTTTTGCTTTCATTCGTAAGTATCCAGTTCAAACCTTAAGACGTTCGAATCAATACTTTTTTTTTAGTTTAATATACGTTTCTAGGACTGGTAGATTGAAAGTTGAGCTATTTTGATTTACTGGAAAAAATTTCGTCACAGAATAATGCAATTTTGCTCACTTGCATATATGCATTGCGCTGCTATACTTTCAGCTATTTATTTTTGTTCACTTGTATATGCATATGCCTTTTCCTACGATCTTTAGTTCCCAGCTGCCAATATGAATATTGGTCTATTGGTGCTTGGATTCACACTTTCTCCAAATTATGGGGCAAGAAAAAACTTAAGAAATTTCAGAAGTGGGGTTGGGGGAGGCATCTTCTTGGAAATATACTCGTGAATTGGCAACTTTTTTTTATTTCATATTTTGAAGCCCACAAATAGTAACTATAGAAACGTAAATGTATACGCGATTTATCTAAACTACTTTTTTTTTAACATTATTGTAACTTACTCCGTATTTTGTTTGTTTTAACTTTTCCTGAACCTATCTTGTTTTTTCCGATCAATTTTTTTTGCTATCATATATTTCCTCTGTTTCTTAATACTTGTAACACTTCTCTTTTTACGCTTGTCAATGTACTATTTCAATCGTTAATATTTTTAATTACCAATGTGTAAAAATTATAAAAATTTGATATTATGAAAGTATAAATCGAAACGAGTAAAACAAGATCCCACATAACTATATTTTTCCTAATCTATAAATCACCAAAGCTAGTCAAAGTGAGATATTTGAATAGTGTAAAAGTCAAACTGTTGCAATAAAAAAAAATGGAGGAAGTATTAGGTTGTTTTTTTGTATAGTTTAATCTGATGTTTGGCATACTTGCACCTTATGATGTCAATTATCTAGCATTGCACCTCTACTTAGCAAAATTGTCGCAAATTAGTTTATGTTGGTTTCGATCCTTAGTTGGAAACTTGGAACAGAACATAGGAAGGATAAGTAGTTGCATATATTAGTAGGGAATAGCTTAGGAACATTCACTAACCAAATGCATCACAGTATGTATGTCAAACTCTTTTGTGTATGACTGTTCTATAATCCTTTTTCATCAGCCTTACCTATCTTTTCAAGATCTTGTACCACCAGACCTTATTCGGAATCCGTTAAGGAACATTCTTCCCTAGCCTTTTATGATTTTTACTATCAGTAACTACTCAACATGACTGCTGAAGGTGACAACACTGATGTTAAGCTCAGGGCATGTCGTAACGGCCTCAGCTTCAGTGTGGAGAGGGACGTGCCATTGCTCAAAGATAAAAACTCGAAGGAAAAAGACTTTGCTTTAACCCAAGTTAGTGTTTGGGAAAAGGAGGATAAGGACATTTTGTTACATTATTGCCAAGTTCTAGGCACTCTTAACATCTTATTTTTGCTCAAACCCTTCCTACCACAATAGGTGATTGCTTTAAGAGTAAAAAGCAAGCTTTACTACTATACTTTAGACCATAATGGAGTTAATGATGTACAAAGTAGTACGTAGTAGTTTTTATTATGGTGTCTTGCTATTGTGCAATAATAATTGGAGCTACAAAAAATTTTTGCTTGAGGATTCAGAGTTTATCTATCTTTGAGGTTTATTAATCCGAGATTTTGTAGCTTGTTGTTATGTTTTAGGGTGCTAAATTAGGATATAGTACAAGCTGATCTTGAAAAGTGCGTGATTTTGTTGCTCTAAACCACCATAACTACACAAATTCAACATACTACCAAAAAAATGAAATTGAATTGGTTTGAACAATCCTCAAGATCAACTAGGAGTTACTATGATAAGAAAGGATTTTTATTTCAAGGATATTAAGTGAATTTAATACTTCTATATTTTTTGATTGATTAGAATGTTGAAAAATTAGATTGTGCTATCCTAGGTTGATCTTGATACAATTGATTTATTTCTTTTTTCTTTGGAATTTGAGACCATCACAAAACCCTTAAGATAAGAGATGGTGCAGTCCTTTTCAGCTTTTCTACCCACACAAATGATTGGGTATAGAAGACAAAGAAAGAAAAGTTGACAATTGCGCATCAGATTTTGGTTAGTTGTTTTTTTTGCCAATTGCTCTAAGGGAGTGGCAAATGCATTATAACTCCTATACTTTAGCTAATATTAAATGTCTACACATGAATATGTTATTGATGGGTCTAGTAAGGTAAAAAGATTAGCCTTCTTTATCCTTGCTCTTCTTTTTATGCCAATCCCTTTTAACTCTATATATAGAAGTTATAGTTCAATTTGGAAACGTTTTACTCAAATTATCCTTCCGCTATTGTATTATAATATCTTCATGTCTCAAACTTTTATTGGTCGAAATGAAGAGTCAGAGTTACATAGGCACAACCTACCCGTGCTTAACTTGACTCAAGTGCCGATTTCACCCTGATTTATTTCTAGAGACACAGGGGCCCAGTAGCTGGTTGCTCTGCATGAGAGACTGAGACTGATAGGGTGAATACACTAGGTGCAGTGCTTACAAAGATTCCTTAGTAGCAAAGATTACACTATTTCGCAGTCTTTTGTGTTTGCCCTTTTCTTCTCTTTGGAATCTCATTTTGTCAGCCTCTTTATCCCTTCTTTTCTCTTTGCTTGAATTTAATCAATCAAAATTAAATCATATCAGCAGACAGTATCTTCTCATCCTTTGATTGATTGATCCTCCTTTTGTACAACCAGCAAACATCTCATAATAAAAAAAATTAATCATCTATATATTTCCTTCGTATTCTATTAGTTGCTACATGTCGAAAGACATGCATATTAAAGAATAAGAGAGTAATACACTTACAAAGACATAAAACAAACATAGCAAATACTAGAGAACGGAAGAAGTATTATATATATTACTCGATAAATAAAGTGATAACATTAAGTAATCTACTAATCCTAAATTCCTATTTAATCTTTCTGTTCATTTTGCTAATTCTATCTATATAAGTCCTTATCATAATTTCATTACACACAAATATAGAAAAGGAATAAGTATAAAACAAACTAAGATACTTTGATTTTATACTTGAATCACATAGCTAAGATTCTTAATTAGCTAAAGGTATAATATACTGAATCTATTATTCTATATGTCAGTAGAACATTGAGTCCCCTGCTTAGAACTCAAATAACCTGTAGGATTAAGTGGTGTAAGAGGCAGAATAGTCACACAATTAACATTTATACGATAACTTCCTGAAACCCAACTAGCAACCTTCCATCGAATCCGTCCATCAAACTTGAAGACTAGTATCATCTTCCCTGAAGCATGATCACGGCCTAGTTCATAGCCAAGTGAAGGGGACACGGGGAGGCCGTTACCAACGAGTGAAGCCGATATTAAGTTACTATCTTGTTGTCCTTGGTAATAAGGAGGAATTGGTGTATGTAGAGTTATTTGTTGCCCTTTGTAAGAAGCATAAGCTTGTAACTCGTCGTAGTAAATTCCAACCCTTTGGTTAGGGTTTCGAGCTTCTAAGGTGATCTCGATAGAGGAGTTTAGGATGTGAGGGGACGAGAAGTTAAGCTGGTAGACGTCGATTTCTTGGATGATGAACTGAGGTTTTGCAGGGTGGAGGATGAACCAAATGAGAAGGATTAATGAGAGAATGGAAAATACTAGGGTAGAGAGGATTTTGAAGAGTTTTTTCTTAAGGAAGTTGAGGTTGAGACCTTTCTTTGCGCAATGTTTTGGTGATTTTATGTCAATTTGAGACATTTGCAATAATAATAAGGTGAAGTGTGAAAGATGAAGAGGTTGAGAGAAAGTGGGAGTAAGAGGTTTTTTGCATGGTAGGGAGTCAAGGAGTGATTATGAGGGGTTAAATAAAGGAGGGGTAGCAACAATACACAAAGAAAAAGGTGCAATAATGTTGTTTTATGATTTTTTGAGTGTCATTGCTTGTGGTAATTTTTCATTATGTAATATATTTGTTGTCCGAACTTAATTATTGTATATTGTTCTACTATCAATTATGATTATGAATTGAACATATAATAATTTCTTTTTTATGACTTTTTTTTAAAGCCTTTTATCTTCACTTTGTCTTTTAATATCAGTAAAAGGTATATTATTGTAACAAAGCTAACAATTTTCATCGAACATCTTTATAAAATGGTAGATGTGGCTATTGTTCGTTTACTCTAATTTAGTTGATTAAACAGGTAATTAACTACAATAATTAATTTCAAAGGTTTAGGACAAAGTGATTTTTATATATATCAAACTCCTCAATCATGTAATTTTGAGTGAGGCGTGTAACCCCTAAATTTGTGTGGGACCAAATATTAGAAAAATTAAACAAGTCTTAGTTAGTTCTCTGCCTTTTGGGAAAAGGGTTAATAATTTTATTTTCATGGTAATGTATTTTAGTTGCAAAAGCAATTTCCAAACATGAGAAAAAGGCAAGTCAAATCACTTTTAGCTTATGTGTTTGTTACGCGACAATTCAATCATTTTACCTACAGTGCCTCAAACAAAAATTCAGAATTTTTGGAGTATTAATTAATTATATTTATGGGGTGAAAAACTGGAAATCAGAGAAATAATATGCTGTTTTCTAATTTTCTTGAATGTTTATAAAGTGTCACCATAATTTGTAGTGCGCTTTTTGAAGTTTTGTGCAAACAGAAGTCAAAAGCAACTCCATATATTTGAGCAGGTAAACACCAAGCTTGCACACATCAACAGCTCATTAGACAATGTTGAAACTCTTGGTTTGTGTTTATAGTTGTAACCAATAGTTGAAAACTTGATTTGAGTTTAGGGACATGTACATTGATTGGAAACGACTAATTAAGTAATTATGGAGTATCATGCACTTCTTACTCTTGACTCACGTGGTGGCATGACAAAGTCACTACGTGAGCAATATGGGTGTAATAATGCGTACATATTTTTCTGCAACATTCTTAATGTTTTTGGGTGCATAATATAAGTATAGGTGATAAATTTTAAAAGGATGTGTTATATGTAAACGACATATCATGTGTCTTTAGCTTGTACTCGAATTATATTTTGGTTTATAAACATTTTTATTATAGCATGGTCTTGAATTTTCTATTCCTTGTAAATTTGTCAAAAAACTTTAGTTCTTGCATAGCTTTTAAAATTATAGATTCAACTCTTGGAAGAACATTTATATTCTCGATCTATGTTTTCGGAAATGAGGTCTTACATAAAGAGAGTAAAATAAAAATGGCCTTTTTTTGTTTGCTAGATAAAGGTTAAATCATGAATATACATTAGATGCACTAACATTTTAGAGAAACAACTTTATTGTGTTATTGATATGTATATGGGTACCTTTGCAATTTGCATGCCCTTGGTATCTAATTTATAAAAAGGTTGGTACACTTTTTAAAAAGTTATTTTTATATTATTGCTTTATTTGAAGTGAAAATGAGAAAGACATAAAACAATCAATGAAATTATTAGCCCCTCGATTTGTAATTGTACACCCCACCTGATTTTGCATAACATCCTTGAACGGTACACATACGTGGCATTCTTGTATGAATTGAGCTTATTAAGTTATTAGACACCAATTAATGCAAATTCTACTAGAGCGACTCATATCAATTGAATCAAATGGAGATTAAATTCCTCTTAAGTCGAATTGAAGTCATACTTAGTTTGAGGGAGTAAAAGTAAAACACTATATATAATACTACCTCCATTTCGTATTATTTGCAACGATTAGACACTTTTCACTTATACTTTATGTTAATTGTCAAATCGTCGCAAATAATATGAAATGAAAGTAGTATAAAATTTGTAATTCTGTACATAATTTACCAAATGAGTCAACGAATCATGGCATACTCAGACTCTAATGTAGCATCACCACTGCCACTGCGTTCTTCCTAGCAAGTGCTAATGGTGCTACCATTATAAGGCTCAATCTCGAAACCTCTAAAAACACCGAGACTAGCTTATATCATACTCACTTTTGCTATGGCCCCTTGAGAATTGTATTTTGCATGATCGTTCAGGTAATTAGATGGGCATTATGGTTAAACAAGGGACAGTTGAGAATTAATAAAAATAGGTCTCTCTAAGACGAAGTAAATTAGGGCATAAATCTTCTCATGTGTCTTAGCTTGATTCTAGAAGAATCTCATAGCTAGAGAGTCTAGAGTTAGGTATTTGTCTTTGTCAGCAGTGCTAAGTCTGGCGTCATGTATGGTATTGGGCCTTTGGACAGCCACTATGTTGTCGTTCGTTTGGGTCAATTAAGTTTGTTCCTCATTTCTTGTTGGAGGTTAACATGAGTTCTTAGCGTGTCGCCTTGACATAGTTCTACTTTCTAAATTCGTCATCAAACAAACCTAATTGAATGATGTAATCATGTTAATAATACTTTTTTGTTGAAAAGGTACAGCTACCGTTAAAACTCTTAAAAGGATATACCTAATCGACATGACTCAATTGTCTGTTCATTGATTAGGGTGCAAGACTTGTGCGAAAATGGCGTTTGGGTGCACGTAGTAAGAAAAGTGGATGTTAGATTTTTGAAATAACACTTTCGTCTATTGACAACACTACCGAGGAACGAAGATCAATGGAGCGCTTGTGCGCACACAGTAGGCACAAGTGGGATCGATAACAAGAAAATTATGTTTGATAAAATTCAGCAAGTTTGGGGGCTATAAGATTAGCATCAATACAGTAAGTATGTTGGCGCAACTACTCAAAACTAGTATTACAACAAGACTAACAATGAGTAGGAAGCTTATATTTTCATTAACCATGACCCTCTAAAAAAGCTTTATTTTCTTTATGTTTGAAAAGAGAACTAATAATTACAAAAAGGTAGAAAGACAGAGAAAATTATGTAGTGGCATATATACTTTTTGTAACTCTCTAGTACAATCAACCATTTTTATTAATTTAAATGAGCTATCTTAATCTCTTATATATGTGAATTTTTGTCCCATGTATGATGTATAAATACTTTTACGTTAGGTGTCAAAAAAAAAAAAAAAACCTTTTACGTTAAGCAAAATTTTCATATATTTAATTTTTATTGGGTATGTCGTTAAGCAAATAGTTAGTACAACCTTTGAAGCTAAATTCTTTAAGGTTGTTACGATGCGCCACAATTGTTGTATACTGGGTTTAAATAATCCAATAATACTACCCACCAATTATGGACAGTGGTGTATTAAAATAAGGGTGGTCTGTGCTAATGAAATTGACTAAACATATGCATATCCTACCAAAACCGCATTCCTTTGCGCCTAGTTTGATGAAGTTTTTTATTAACGCAATTATTGATCGAATCTACAATGTATTTAGTTTTAAGGTGTTATGTATTTGTGCTGCAATTGTTGATTTCTTAGAAAATTATATGTAAGTGCCGTTTAACTATATTATATTAATATAATCACTTTTCTTCGTCAAAAAAAAAAAAAAAAATTGTAAAACCCCTCCCCCCCTTTCTTTTATTTTTTTACAACACATGGAAATTTCTTTCTCTTTTTTTTTATTTATTTTATTTATTTATTTATTTTTATCGCCTCTTATATATTGTCTAGCATGTGGATCATATCGACCAATAAAGGGGCTTTTGGTTCGGTAGAGCATTTCTTTTTATACATCAAAAAACTTTTACTTCCTAAATTCGTAAAAAAATACAATTTTCTATACAAATTAATCATTAAATATCACATTATATTACAATTATCCAGAGAGCGAGTCACTTTCACATAATCGAACAAACATTAAATATCACATGCCAATAGTACACTTTTTTATTTTATTTTTTTGTTAGAAATAGCACACCTTAGAACCATAAACCATTTTCTTTTGAGCTTGTTGGAAGCATATATTTGGAAGTAGTTTTCCCATCAACCCTTCTTTGCGTCTCAACCTTTAGTATTTACTTCTTCCATGTATGGTTCTTGTTCTTTGTTCGACTCATAATAAGATCATCAACTTCAACATTACTAAGAAGGGCAGAATCATAAAATGGTGTTCCGCCCTTGTTACTAACAAAAAACGAGGATCCTGCATTCCTGCCCATCGATATGGTTTAGGGGAGCCCAAATGTGCATGATCTTGTACACTACTCAAATTATGTACTAGCACCAAGATTGTATAAGGTTACGTTCAACCTAGCATGCTTATGGGAGGGGAGAAGAGGGTGAGAGACAGGATTAAATGGAAGTTAATGTTCCTGAATCTGGTATAAACTGTAATCTCAAGTTTCATCCAGGATTTCTTCTGTAAAATCCGGAACCAAAACAAGCATGTTATTTCATCTACAGACCTACTTATAAATAAATACAAAAAATCTCACACTAACACCTATCTATATGTACTATACAACAAAACCAAAGCATATGGCATCCCTGGCTAACTGGAAGTTGAATTGCCACCTGAATGGTTAGATTTTAGTGGTGGAGGATCCAGAGGTACTTGACGTACAAATTGCCCTTTTATTCGTGGACGTTGCTCAGCAAGCTTTTTCCTGCTCTCATATCGAACCTGTAAAAAAGTTCTAAGTATTAGCTTTGACAATACAAGAACAAGATATCATCCTTTAGTTATACACCTCACTTGACACTTGACAGAATAAAGTGGTTACCTTCTTCTCGTAGCATCTTTCCTTTCTTTTCAAGCGAAACTTATTAATGGCAGCTACTCGTTGCAAAGACCTTTGTCGAGTCAAATCACAAACACGACCTTGATCATTTCCTCCCTCAGAGCTACCACCGGTTAGATGCCCTACTCCTGCTGTGTCATTATGTAAAGAACTACTGGCACTTTGATCAGCAGCAGAAGAGAAGTGTGCTCGCTCCTCTAAAGATTCCAGCTTATTTTGATCCTGCATATTCATTGGTTGATTGGATGATAGCTTAGGACTTTGTTCGAGGGGTTGGAAATGGTGTCTGCCGTTAATCACATCCATGCTGAATTGATGATAAGAATTCATTTG